GGGCGGGGGAGGAGCCCCCTGCGAGCGGGCGGCCGCCTTAGGGGCTCTGCGGCAGGGGCGCGTCGAGGCTCCCGCACAGGCACGCGCGTTCCGGAGAAGCCAGACACCCCGCGCACTCAAAGCCCGCGCGCGCCAGGCGGGGGCAGCGGGGCGGGGAGCGGAGGTGACTGCGGGGCGCGGGGAACCGGGGATGGGCGCCCCCAGCTCCGCGTCCCTCGGAGGCCAAGGGGAAGCGGGACCTCTTGTGAATCGGCAGCCGCCGCGTCTGGGGCAGAGCAGGGATCAGAGCGGCCTGGGGAATGAAGACCGCGTGGCTTCCCCCGGGGGCAGGGGCTCTAAAGGTGCAGGAAGGTCGTGCCCCCGGACCTCGTGCAATGCCCTCGCCCGCCCGGGAAGCTGCGGTTTTACGCACACCCAGCTCCTCCCCGCGCGGCTGAGTGCAGTCGGGAGGGAGGGAGGGAGGAGAGCACAGGCGGCAGGAGGCGCGCGGGATCGATGCTCCCGCAGCGGCCCCCAGAGCCCCGCCTTGCGCCTGGGGAGGTGAAAGGCCCCTGGAGTCTGGCCTGCGCCCTGCGGAGCCAGGGCACGCGGGCTCTCGGGTGGGGCATCTTGAGTGGCAACTGGCTTGGAGCCCTGTCCTTTATCACCGGGAAGGAAGGAAGATGAGGAACTCGCTGCGGCCGTGAACTGTTCCATTGCTCTTTTCCTGGGGAGGAGGGAGCCGCCGCGCTGCGGCACCCGCGGGCATGGGGGTGGGCATGGGGTCTCTGCGCCCCTAGCTCCGCGCCCGGGGCGGCGTCCTGATCTGGAGGAGCGGCTCTGGGCTCCCGCCCCGCGGCCTGGAGCGGCCGGAGCGTCAGCCCTCGGCGGGGCGAGCGCGGTGAGAAGCTGGACGGGGCGAAGCTCCGCGACGCCAAAAACCTGAAAGATGCTGTCATCGCCACCCCCCTCTCCCCCGCCGGCCCCTGGCAGGTCCGGCCCCTCCCAGGCTGACCCAGATACATCCCCGTTTGGGTCCGGAAAGGGAGGGGAGGGAAACGAGCATCGCGCCACCCACGACTCGGGAAGAGCGGGGCTCCGCGCCAGGGCCGCTCCGTATCGCTGGGCCACGACCCAGGGGAAGTTCTGGTCGGTCTTTGCCGGCCGGGAGGGCGGGGACGTTACTGTTCCGAGGACGTGCCCGTGAGGGCTAGTCGGGGGAGCGATGTGACAGACACCAAACATTCACCTCTACACCTGGGCTCTCAGCCCCGTGCATAAGTCACACGTAACCTCATCTCACTGGCTGTTAGTCTCTTACACCAGACACCGAGGATGTGAGGAAGGCCCTAGAGGAACCTTGTGGTCAAGTAGAATAGGATCCCTACAGACCGCGGGACGAGGAATGCCCGCCCTGCCCTGTCCTGTGCCATCTTCCTCATCCTGATGCCCTTGAACCCATGCTAAAGTCAGTCTGTCAGCAGGGGCTTCCTCCTTGTCGCTGAGAGGAACCATAAATTGTCAGAATCTCACTTTTGCCAACACAAAGTGAAGGGCTGTTTGTGCGTGTTGGGCAAGGTAGCAGTTGTAAAGTTCCCTCATGGAGAGAGAAGGAAAACTACCTAAAAAACCACCACACTCAAGAGTTCCCACCCACCCTAGCACATCCTGTCCTTACAGCACATGGAGGCCCTTCCCCTCTACCCAGGGAATTACTGACTGGCCACAAGACCTGCCCTTGAGTTGTTGGTGAGGCCAGTGGAATGACCTAAACCTGAAACACACAGACCACCCCCAAGCTAATTAAATCCATTCTAAAGAGCTCCATTCAGGGGCCGCAGGCAGAGGGCTACGTCTCATAGAGAAGAACTCAGAAGTGGTGAAAGCAGACACAGCTCAGGAGATGCTAAGGCCAGCTGTGGCAGCTCCCTCTGACCTAAGAACACTCTGGATCCGGGGACTTGCCTTTTCTAGACCTAATGTTACTTCTCTACTGTTCTCCACCCCATTCACGATTCAGGAAGGACTCTTGTAACCAATGCACTTTCTCTCTGCTCAGCAGGTGCGATTTCACACTCGCTCCTCATTTAAACTTAGCCCCTTGGTGGATCCTTTCTTTTTGAAAGGAGAGAATTATTCATTAGTAAAGGAAGTTGGGGAAATGCTTGGGAAAATTCGGAGAGAGCATGATTGTGGCAAAAGAGACTTTGTTCACTCGTAAAGAAAAAAAAAAGGGTATTGCTGAAGGAAATTAGGAGCGAATTTAATGTCTCTTGGAAGTAAAATGACTATCCTAAAAAAATTAATAAATGATGAAGTGAATTGCATTTGACGTCAGGCTAGCTGCACCAGATAATAAGGTAGGGGAATAAAGGTTCAGGGTGATTTCAGATCTGTGGAATTATTTCTTCAATGAGAAATCTCATTGAATTTTTACTATAAAATTCACTTACATTATGGAACCCAATTTTCTTCCTGGAGATTAATGTTAGTTTGCTTGTAACTTCAGTATATAGCATTGTAGCTAGATGAGTCAGTCTATTTTCTTAGTTAGATCCATTGTTTGTCTAATCTCCCAGGGCAAAAGGAGAACTAATTTACAACCACCCTTCTCCACCCTTTAGAAATGGGGAGTTACTTCTTCAAATCATCATTTGTGTTTCAGCCTGAACTGGCTTTTTCCAAAAGCTGTGATTCCTAACTTAGCTACTCACCCACCAATGATTCAATGTCCAGTGTCTCCAATGACTGAGAGAACACTGTGTTAACAGACCAAGAATGAGAGAGAATATATATCATTAAACCTTTTCCCTTAAAGGCTAAATCTAAGAGTTTTGTGTATACCACAATATACAGTAAGTCTAAAATTTAACATTTATTTTCAGTGTTCCAAGAAGCAGTTCATTTTTACTTTTTGGTCACTCCCAAAATTTTTATCAAGTACATATTTAGCTGTCCTTTGTCAGTC